GGGCTCTCACGCCGTGCCTGCTTTAAGGAAATCCGCTTTGCGGAGTGGGACAGCGTGCGCCCCGGCCGCAGCCTCCGAGCCTGCCCCGGCGCCCCCGATTTCCGTGACTCCGTTCTCGGCTGAGGCCGGGTCAGCCGGCGCTCACCGCGCTGCGGCGTTTGAAAGACGCAGCCGTGGAGGCGGTGGGCAGGGTGGGCACTGGCACTGGGGTAACTCGGGCCCGGCGGCTCGTCCCCAGCGGGCGTAGACCTTGTTCGGGGGCGTTTCTGGCCAGGGGATCCCCGAGGCTCTGGGCCTGTTGGCACAAATTAAGTTCAATATATGCCCTGCCGAGCGCCGGAGAGTGGGATGAGAGCGCAGGCTAGGATGCCGCAGCCTGGCGCTCCAGCCTTAGCCGGGCTAGCGATCGGCCTCTCTAACGCGGCCTCAGTGGGCGTCTGCACGGAGGGCTCTTGCGGGAGGGTGGTAATTGTGCCTTCTGTGTGTTTTTTTCCCCTGCAGAACCTTTTTAAAATTGCATTTCATATATCTAAGAGCTTCATGGAGGTAGAATTGACATAAAGTTGACATGTTTCAAGTATCCTACCAATGAAGTGCAGCACATTCACGGTTATGCAGTCATCACCACAGCCCACTTCCAGCACGTCTGTCACCCAGGGAAGACCCTGGTGCCCAGTTATTTGCGAGTCATACCCATTTCCAGCCAAGCCCCAGCCGTCCTCTGATCTCCTTTGTTTCCTCTGATGTGCCATTTCTGCGTATTTCCTATATTCAGATGGCCTCCTGTGTGACCTTTTGTGTCTGGCCTCTTTAGCTTAGAATAACGTGGTCAAGGCTGGCCTATGTTGTAGCGTGATTTAGTGCTACTTCATTCCTTGTTATTTCTGAATAATATTTCCATCACATAAACCACATTTTTGTGTAACCATTCATGCAGAACACTTTGCAAATAATTTTTTTTTTTTTTTAGATTTTTGCCATAGGGCACATGCACTTGCTGGAGAGACAGAGAAGGAAAGTGAGAAATAACACCCCCCCTCCCAACACACACAGCAATCCCCTCTCCTTCTGGGATTTTTGGGCAAATGCATATGCACATGTCTGGTGTCATTTTTCAAGTCGCCAGATCAGGGACTTGAACCACAGTTGGCCATGTGGAAGTCTGGTGCCCTTAAGCACCATGCCATTTGCCAACCCTAATTTTTTTAAATGTAAAATCAACTGATGGACAGAATATTCCAGAAGATCTGGTGCAGTCATGCTTAAGAATACACCTTTATTCTGGTTATGGTGGTCTGGCATTGCTTAATTGTTAGCCTGTCAAACAGTGGTGACACGCCAGCTATACAGTTAGCTGTGAAGGACCAAATGTTTTTTCAGCTACCTATTTTTTTTTTTTTTCCTAAGGATTTTTGCCACAAGAAGCATGCACTAGCTGGAGAGTGATAGGGAGAGAGAGTGAGAGGGAAAGTGAGAAATCACCTCCCAGGGTGGATGGCCACCCGCAATCCCTTTCCCTTCATTTTCCTTTCAGCATTTTTGGGGTAAGCATGCACATTTGCCCAGCCTGATTTTCAAACCACCAGGTCCAAGACTTGAACCATTGCCGACCATGTGGGAGTCCAGTGCCCTAACCACCACATCACCTGCTGACCTCTCAGTCAACTTTTAATTGAACAGGATGTTACCTTTTCATGGTCTAAATAGAATTCAGTCTTTGGAGTGATTGCAGCAAAGTAGAATATTATCGAAACGCAGGGTATAGCTGCATAGTGAGACGGTTATTAGTGATCTAACTCACTTCCTCGCATCAGAATTTTGTTCTTTAGTTACTGTCAGAGAAATAGCTTTGGATGTATTTTAGTTACACCTAGAGGTATAACCTTTGTGATACTCCTTCCTTATGCAGTTTATAAGTGGAGGAATTTCGGAGCTGTGAGGACTCTTACCTACCGGCTGGAGCAGTGGCTTGCCCACGTAAAACATTTCCTGTACTTTATCTCCTCTTACACATAAATCTCATATTTTATTCCTGGTGCATATGATTAGAGCTGCATCTCCTTTCAGTATGTGATGCTAAGTATATTAGGATTACGTCTGTGTTAGAGGTATAATCACACTCTGAAAGTGCTATGGAAAGTCCAGAGATATGGAAGTTCACAGGTATGTGATAACATCCAGGGTCGGCCTTTCTCTGGAAGATAACCATGTCTTCTGTGGGAAGAACTTACAGGAACTGTGTCTGACCCGTATTTGGTGGGTCGGGTAACAGCCCTGAGTAGGCAGTGTGAGTGACGCTGCAGATGACAACGCTTTTCAGAATGAGCTAGCTGAAAGCTTTGTTTTCAAAGGATATCCTTTTCTTAGTTGTAGAGAGTTTTTTTTTTTTTTTTTTTTTTTAAACTAGGGAATTTTTGCTATTGGGCATGGAACTCACCAGAGAGAGAGAGAGAGAGAGCGAGAAATCACTCCTAGAGGGGATGACCATGCTGCAATCCCTTCTCCTCCAGTTGCCTCTTGGGATTTTGGGCATGCATGCACATGTGCCTGGCGTGAGTTATTTAAGCTGCTGGGTCTGGGACTCGAACCGTGGTCGGCCATGTGGGAATCCAGTGACATAACCATTATGCCATCTGCTGGTCCTAGTAGACAGATTTTTGAGAACAATTCCTAGGAGATAGATCCTTTTTTAAGATCTGCTCTCTGTCCAGATAAAGTGAATGTATTTGAATTTTCATGCCCTGCATCTTACCAGAAAATGTGATTTTTTTCTTTAAGATTTATTTTAAAAGGTTTATTAAAGTATTTTAAATAACGCATTTATCTAATTATAAAAATAACACTTGTTTTTTGTGAAAATATAAATATAATCAACCAGAAAATAACTGTCTGTATACACACTGTGAAAGGAAAGCCATTCTTAACATTTTGGTATGTATCTTTCGGTGTTATCTTTTTCCTGTGCACATAGACATAGTTTTACAAATCAGAATTTGGATTTCAGACTCTTTCACTTGATGCTTCATTAGCATTCCCCATTCCTTTGTTGTTGTAACCAGTTATCACAAACAGTGGCTTAAAACCACAGAATTTATTGCCTGACCGTCTGGAGGTCAGAAGTCCACAGTCTTGCTGAGCTGAAGTTAGGTGTGGCAGGGCTGGTTCTTTTTGGAGCCTTGAGGAGGGTCCTTTCCTCCCCTTTTCCAGTTTCTAGAGGCCACTTATGGTTGCAGTTCCTTCCCCACATTGTTTCAGCTCTTGCCTCCCTCCCATTCTGAACTGCCTGCTTCTTATAGCCAGTCTTGTAACCCTACCTGCCTCACCTGGAAAATGAGGGCACTCTTCCCCAACTGCAGAGCCCTTTGACCATATGCCGTACCAGTCACAGGGTCTGGGGATTAGGGCCTGGATATCTGTGGGCACCATTACTCAGCCTCCTAGCAGAGTATGGTCTGAAATTGCCGCCAGGCGTTCAGAGTGTGGTGAGCTGTATCACTCCGCCAGCCCTCTGGTTGCACATTAGATGGTCTCTGGTTTTTCCCAGTTTTAACCTGCAGTATGTGTCCTTGGACACAAATCACTTTTGTGCTTCTAACCACATTTTTTTTTAATTGCCAGGAGTCAGGTGTGCTTGCCAGACAGGGAGAGAGAGAGAGAGAGAGAGAGAGAGAGAGAGAATCCCCCCCACACACACACCAAGTGGGACAGGGTCGTGCTGGAGTCTTTTTCCCTCCATTTGTCTATCCTATCAGAATTTCACATGCATGTACACATGCGTGGTAAGTTTATCAAGCTCCCGGGGCTGGGACTTGAACTGTCCTCAGCCATGTGGGATTTTAGTTCCTATGCACAGTGCTTAATTTTTGTGCTATAGGGTGGCCTCAGAGTCTCACTTCTTGGATTGAATTCCTAGGGCAGATTGGAGGAAAGTGAAGAGCTGGCCTCTGGAGCCGGACCACCTGAGCTGCCAACCCAGCTTTCCCACTTGCTGGCTGTGTGGCCCCGAGGAAGTTGCTTAGTCTCTTGGAGCCTCAATTTTCTCATCTGAAGATGGGGGTAATAACAGGTTGTTGAGAAGATTAAATGAGCTTATACAAATTACGAAGATTAGCACCTTCCACATGACAAATACTCAGTAAATATTAGTTTTCGTTGTTACTACGAAATGAGACTGAAAGTTTTTTTGTGTCCGTTTATAAGAGTTTTAATACATCATGCAAATCAACATTCCAGAAGGTTAGGAGTTTTCCATACTCGCCAGCAGCATACGAGAGATATAAGTTCTCAAACACGATTTGTGTGCTGGGTGCCTCAACTGTTTCCTATGTAAATCATAGAAAAATGTAAAACCTTTATTATGTAAATCACAGAAGTGTTGAGGTTAATTTTAATGGGATATACTTTATCATGAGTCTTTTCGGGAATTCTGTTGATTCCTTGGAATGATTTTTTTTTAGCTTTATTTTTTTTGCTTTTTGCCATCGTATGTGTGTGCTTGCCTGAGAGAAAGAGAGAGAGACAGTGAGAGGAAAGTGAGAAATCACCTCCCAGAGAGGACAATCACACCGCCATCCCTTTTCCATTCTCCTGGGATTTGGGGCACACACACACATATATTCCCTGCGTGGTTTTCAAGCTTCCGGGGCTGGGACTCAAACCACAGTTGGCCACGTGGGAGTCCAGCACCTTAACCACCATGCCACCTGCTGGTCCCGAGATCCACTTTTAAACTTCCTAGCTTAGTCCTATCTGTTGGAATGCTGGCTGTCGTTCTGTGTGACTGTTGGTGAGTGGGGATCTACTAACATGATTTGTGGTCTGGTGTGGCACATGGTGACCTGCACTGACCTATCTGGAATGAGAGGCTTGTGATAGCCCCTGACTCCCACTTTGAAAGTCTCAGTACCTCTAACCCAGTGTGTTCTTGGCAGCCGAGGATAAATAAAGAACTTGTTATTTTGGCATATTTTGGAAACAGTCCTAACCAACAGGAAGATTTCAAGAAGAGTTCAAACCTTCTTTTTCTCTGAACCATTTGAGAGGCTCAGTCTCCTGTGATCCGCAGGTACTTTGGTGGGCATTTTCTGCGAGCAAGGACCTTCTTACATACAGTACAACTGTTAAGATCAGGAAGTTAGTCTTGGTGTGTCACTGCGTCTAGTCCACAGGCAGGCCCACCCAGATTCTGCCAGTTGTTGCAGAGTACCCTCGACAGCATGTGGGTCCAGTTCAGAGCTGCAGGTTACAGGAGAATACAACCTCTGACATGCAAGCAGACCCTGATTCCCTCTTCTCTGGCTCGTAGGATGCTCTTGGTGTTTTGTTACCCTTAGCCTCCCCTCCCCATCCCCCCCCATACAGATTTTTCATTTCTTTTATACTTTTATTTTTGAAGCTGCTTTAAAACATGTTTCTCCTTGAAAGCAGTGAGAAATAAGTAAATAGAGGTGATGCCATGGTTTGTATTACACATTTGTTCTATAACGTGGGTATCTTTTTGACCCTCTTATCTACATTGTAAACACAATCGTGTAGCTTAACTTTAGAGGTATATGCTGAAAAACATGTGATTTGGTGATGTTGAACTTGGGCGAACATCACAGTGTGTACTTACATGAATCTGGATGGTATGGCCTTCTATACACCTGGTCCTGTTATAACCTCCTCCTGCCCCTTTCTTTCCTTTTAATCCCCAGTGACTACATGTGCTTGCTAGAGACAGTGAAGGACAAAGCACCCCCTAATGGGGAATGGTCACCCTTCAGTCCCTTCTCCATTTCTCCGTTCTCTTGGGATTTGGGGCATGTACACACACATACCTAGTGTGTTTCTCAAGCTATTGGGGCTGAGATTTGAACCATAGTGAGTCATCTGGGATCCAGCTCCCTTCACTAGGCTATGGGGCCCTGGCCTATAATAATTTTATGGGACCATCGTTGCATATGCAGTCTGTTGTACACGTGTGACCATGTGACTGACTCATCCCTGGCCATGTCAGTGTGCTACTCAAGGCTGTGCCACTGTTTTTGTTTCGTAGTTAGGCTCCCAGATTGATCAGCTGCGTTGGACTCTGAATCTGTGGTGCAGATGGAGTACAGGACTCAGTTTTATCGGCCTGAGTGAGAGAAGCCCCATGTCAGGATGGAGAGGAAGCGGAGAAAGAAATGAGACCCTCTCTTCGGGCCAAGCCACGCAAGGCCATGGGATTTGACTCGTGTTTACATTGGACAAGACTGTAAGGCGGCTGATCGGTAATGCTGCAGCTTCTAGCCGAAACAAAAATTCACTTCTAATCAAGGAAGAAAAAGTGTGATTTGAATTTATGCAATTTTATGACCATACTCACTCATGACGATGAAGCTTGTCAACATCTGGCTGCTTCTGCTAGTGGTTTTGCTCTGTGGGAAGAAACATCTGGGCGACAGACTAGAAAAGAAGTCTTTTGAAAAGGCCCCGTGTCCTGGCTGTTCTCACCTGACTCTGAAAGTGGAATTCTCATCAACGGTTGTGGAATACGGTAATGATATTATCTCTAGGCCCTCCCACCCTGTTCTCAAACTTGCTTAATACAAACGTTAGCTTTTGTGGAAGAACAGGTCCCTCTTTGCTATAATAAATTTCAAATGTGATGAGTACATAGCATGTGGGTGTTAACTTTGCTTCAGTTTGTTTTCCTAAAATGGTAAACTTAAACGAAACAAAGAAACTGACATTCTGATTTCTGTACCGACAACTCAAGTCATTGATGCCGTTGTTCTCGAAGAGTGTGGGGGTTTAGAGGTGCCAAATGTCTGTGTTCTGAGGCTCAAGTAACCAGACGTGAATAACTAAGGAAATAGTCTCATGTAATCCACTCCAGAATTTGTTACTGTTTTCAGTAACACACCACTAAATATTGTATTCCCTGAATTCCGTTTTCTTATTTGGAAAACTTATGCTCGTTTCTCTGTTGTGTATTAGCTTTTTTAAAAAAATCATGGATACCTTATTTTACATGCTATATTCCATGTGATTAGGTGATTCATATTATTATTATTATTATTAAAGTTTGTTTATTGAGAGAGAGAAAAACGGGGACCTCTGACAGGGTCTTACAAAGCCACAGTTAGCCTTGTGACCAGCAGGGTCTCCAGCGTGCCCAGCACATTCAGGTTCAGGATGTGCACATCCCTGTCCTTGCAGAAGCTTCAGCCTGCACAGCAGTGCCCACTGCCCATGCCACTGTGCTGGGCTTGTCCTTGCGGAAGCTCCAGCCCGCACAGCAGTGCCCACTGCCCATGCCACTGTGCTGGGCTTGTCCTTGCGGAAGCTCCAGCCCACACAGCAGTGCCCACTGCCCATGCCACTGTGCTGGGCTTGTCCTTGCGGAAGCTCCAGCCCGCACAGCAGTGCCCACTGCCCATGCCACTGTGCTGGGCTTGTCCTTGCGGAAGCTCCAGCCCGCACAGCAGTGCCCACTGCCCATGCCACTGTGCTGGGCTTGTATAGGTTATATTCACTCTGAGCTCTGCAATCTGCTGTCTAGGGCATTCAAACTATTCTTTTTGTTTTCTGCTTTTTCACTGTGGCTTTAAGATAATTAATTTTTCTGTTAACCAGTGAAGTTCTAGATTAGATATGATATAACCTGTTACAATAAATGGATCAGTAGGTAAATTCTTACTTTAATTTGTGGTCATTGGTTTCAGAATATATTGTGGCTTTCAATGGATACTTTACAGCCAAAGCTAGAAACTCCTTTATTTCAAGCGCCCTGAAGAGCAGTGAAGTAGTCAATTGGAGAATTTTACCACGCAACAATCCATCCAGTGACTACCCTAGTGATTTCGAGGTGATTCAGATAAAAGAGAAGCAGAAAGCCGGTCTGCTAACACTTGAAGGGCATCCAAACATCAAACGGGTCACACCGCAGCGGAAAGTCTTTCGCTCCCTCAAGTTCACCGAATGTGAGTATTAGGAGTTCACGCAAGGCTGTGTCTCCTCGGTGTCATTCTGAAATTCCATGCTGCAGAATAGTGGAAACAATACAGCCACTGTCCATGTCCCTTCCTGTAGTTCCCCAACATTTTCCTGGCAGGAATTTTTTTTTTTAAATGAAGCCTCATGCTATTCTGGCAGGAAAATAAAATTTAAAAAATGCCAAGGCATTGCAGTAGAGGATGGTAGTGATCTTGGTTTCTGTTGGAAGGGAATCTCACTCAGGTTCAGCCCAGAGTCCTCAGGCTTTGAGCCTGTGACCCCTCCGTATGCTCAGAGGAAGGACCATGTCTGTGTGTGATCTCTTCCCTTACATTTGCCTCTCACGGTGTGCGCGTTTCTGTCCAGAGGCACACTTAACTTGGGTCCGTTTTGTTGTTTTGTTCAGCCTGCTGCCCGTGCAAGATCGTGTCTCAGCTGGACTCCCTGCAGGTGTGCGGGTGGGAGGGCTGGATTTTCTTTTTTTCAGCTCAAGGTCTTTGTCTTCCCATTTCCTTACAGCTGGGCTTGTCAAAGTAGAGTTTATTCCCCAATCATGAATTGCACATTGATCACTTAATATTTTCCGGAGAGTATGTGTTACTGAAAGAAAAGGTTTTCCTCCTATTTGTCATAGCCAGAGTAACAAATCGCTAGTTCTGTTGTTTACTGCCATTCTTTCATTGGAAGGAAGAGGAAATAGCATTTGTTCTCTTCTCTATCATATACTCAGCCTGGGAGCCTCTGACAGTTTGCTCCATTTTTTTCTTAAAAAGAGAAAAATGCAGAGGAAATGGTTAACTTTTTCATAGTAGGACAAGCCAGTTGGGTCTGCTGTACATCAAGTGTCTGACTTCAGAGCCTTTTTGCAAGTCTTGATGCTTTGTATTTTTTTTCTTAAAAAGCAAGTCACATCCCAAAATGATCCCAGGAAGATTAAAAACAAATCAAATATGGTTTAATTAGCCAAATACATACTTTGTGCCATTTTACTTGACTTTAAAAAAAAATTTGCTATAGGGCATGTGCGCTTACAGAGGGTGAGGGGGTTGGAGGGAGAAAGCACCATCTAGGGGTGATAGCTACACTGCAGTCTCTTCTCCGTTTTCTTGGGGTTTTGGGTGCCCTAACTACCACACTATTGGCTAGCTCATTTTAAAAAATTGCTTATTTAGTTTTATTTATCGTTATTTTTAAATTTGCTGCAGAGCATCTGCACGAGAGAGAGAGAATGAGAAAGCTAGCTGTCAGGTTCGGAACTTGAACTACGATTGGCCATGTGAGAGTCCAGCGTCTCAACTACATACCACCTGCTGACCGTGACACATGACTATTTTATTTTATTTATCCTTTTTTTTTAAAAAAAAAAAAAGAGGTTTTTTTTAAAGAATTATTTAACTTTATTTATTATTATCATTATTATTTTCCAGTTTGATCAGAGAGAGACAGAGAGAGAGTGAGAGGAAGTGAGAAAGCAAGCCACCAGGTCCGAGACTTGAACCGTGGTCAGCCATGTGGGAGTCCAGCGCCTTTAACCACCATGCCACTTGCTGGCCCCTTTAAAGAGGTTTTTATCCTATGGTATGTACGCTTGCTAGGGAGAAAGAGAGAGAGACAGTGAGAGGGAAAGTAAGAAATCAACCCTCTGAGAGGGATGGCCATGGCATACTCCTCTCTCCTCCATATTCTTACTGGGATCTTGGGCATGCATACACATGTGCCCGGTATGAGTTTGAAGCCACCAGGTCTGAGACTCAGACCACAGTCAGCTATGTCGGAGTCTAGCAACGGAACTGCTACGCCGTCTGCCAGTCCCTAGAGGTGCCTGCTTTTAGTGCAAGAATCGTCGATGCTTCTCTGGGGGTTCTCGTCTCTACCACCTGCTCTGTGTTTGCCACTTGCCATGCCTGACACCCTGTGAGGAGCTGTTACCTCCTGGTGTGCCCATTCTTGTAGTAGCTGGCTGTGACTTTGAGCAGTGATACGTGCTCCTCTGTACTTCTTCATCTCGTCCATAGAGTGGAGATAGTACTGCCTCCCTCCAGGGTCTCCGAGGACAGAGTAGGGTGGTGCACACAAGGAGCACTTACAGAGGTCAGGGAGTTGTAAGCAGCCCCGACATAATTGTTCCTGTGGCTCTTACTGGTGGAAGATTTTGCTTTATTTGGGGCTGGAACCTGTCTCACTCTGGGTTCTGTCCATTTTGTTCTGTCCCGCAGGCCAGAACACAAAGCTAATGCATTTCCGCATTTGGAGATACTGTGAGGATCCCTGCTTTCGGCTAGTTGGAGACAGCTGCGTGTTGCCTGCTCTCCAAGCTAATGATCCCTATTCTCTCACTGGTTACTCACATGAAATGGTGTGGAATCCTCCCACCTTTCTTCTCTTCTTTTTTTTTCAAGTTTTGTTAAAGTTTGTGTCTGCCAGAGAGAAACTGGGGAGCGTGAAGAGTGAGAAATCACCTCGCAGAGGGGATGGCCGTACCGCAGTCCCTTCTCCAGTCTCCTCTTGGGATTTTTGGATGCACAGGCACCCAGTGTGATTTTCAAGCCACCGGGTCTAGGACTTGAACTGTGTGGTCGGCCATGTGGGATCCAGAGCCTTGAATTCCATGCCACCTACTGCTCCCCTTGCCCCATCACCACCATTTAAATTGTTTTCCTTTGAGTATACATTTTCTGAATTGCTGTTAAGATTGGAGCCCAGGGACCAGCAGTTAGCATAATGGCTATGTCGCTGGACTCCCATGTAGTAGACTGCGGTTCATGTCCTGGACCTGGTGGCTTAAAACTCATGCCAGGCATGTGTGCGTGAGTGCCCAAGATCCCGAGAGGAGAATGGAGGAGAGGGGATTGTGGCGTGGCCATCCCCCCTGGGGGGTGATTTCTCATTTTCTGTCTCTCTGTCTCTCTGTCTCTCTCTGTCTGGCGAGCGCATGCGCCCTATAGCAAAAAAAAAAAAAAAACAAAAAAGATCGGAGCCCAGAACTAACTAATACTCAGTGTAGTCTGCTCTGTTTAAGGTAAAGCAGACTAGACCCCTCCCTGTTCTGAGTATTGTCACTTCATTAGTGACATCAATGGTACGTGGTGCTGTCGACTTTGCGGTCAGTATCCACTCAGGAAGCTCAGCACAGAGCGAGTTCAGTCGGGCTGTACAAGTAATCACTCACTGGGATCGACCTGACTGTTCTAGGACCCTGTACTTTCACGGTGTGGCCTGGTGAGGCTGAATATGATAGTAATTTGCTTTAGAAACAGAAAATTTCTAAAGCATGTCAGAGTGTAGACTGGTTTTTCCTAAAGCTGATGTGAAATGTGATTTGTTCTTATAACATGGACTTTGAAAGGTGAAAGAAAAACTTGTTTATTTTTTGTTCCTTTTTTGTTATTTTTTAAAAATTTTGTTTAATAAAGGGATTTATAAATAGTAAAATTTATCTTTTTTAGAATATAGTCTGGCAAATTTTGGCAAAAGTATGCAATCAAGTATCTGCCAACCAAATGTACTAGTTCCATCGTCCTCCAAGATCCTCCCCACTCTTTTGCAGTTCTTTTGTTTTTTGAAAGATACAATTCCAATAGAGAAGTATACTGGTATATATACACACACAGACACACACACACACACACACACACACACACACGGAGAGAATAATTATATATATATATATATATATGTATAGTGTGTGTGTACGTATGTCTGTGTATGTGTATGTGTGTGTCTATAAATACATATATATAGCTAAAAAGGTCATGTTGATAT